TTACAAACTCAACCAGCTCTGCAGGCACCGTCTGCCCCCCATAAAACTCACTTACTCCAACAGAAGTCTGCTTCAACCCAACCTTTTCCCCTGCTGCCCATCAACTTGGGGATGTTACTTAACATTTCTGTCTCAATTTCTAGTTCAAGGCACTGGTGGTCATACCATACTATCTTGCTTTGAATCCTGGATCAGCAAGTTATAGTCCTCTAAGTAAATGAACATTAGCTTTTTAAAAAGATTTTATTTTTTTAAATTTGAGATGCAGAGAGAGAACATGAGCTGGGGGGAGAGGGGCAGAGGGAGAGGAAGAGTGAGAAGAAGACTCCCCGCTGATCAGGGAGCCTGATGCAGGACTCGATCCCAGGACCCTGGGATCATGACCTGAGCTGAAGGCAGATGCTTAACTGACTGAGCCCCCCAGGTGCCCCTGAGCATTACTTTTTAACATCAGTAAAACTGAAACGTTAATCATACCTCCTTCAAAACTGATGCATATAAGAATTAATTCAAGATACAGATGTAGTGAAAAGAAGGGGCACATGCACCCCAATGTTCATAGCAGCCATGTCCACAAGAGCCAAACTGTGGAAGGAGTTGAGATGCTCTTCAGCGGATGAATGGATAAAGAAGATGTGGTCCACATGTACAATGGAATATCACTCAGCCATCAGAAAGTATGGATACCCCCCCCCATTTGCATCAACATGGATGGGACTGGAGGGGATTATGTTGAGTGAAGTAAGTCAAGCAGAGAAAGTTAAAATCATATGATTTCACTCATATGTGGAGCATAAGAAATAGCATGGGGGACATTAGGAGAAGGAAGGGAAAATAAAGGGGGAGAATCAGAGTGGGAGACAAACCATGGGAGACTATGGACTCTGGGAAACAAACTAAGGGTTTTTGAGGGGAAGTAGGTGGGGGAATGGGTTGGCCTAGTGATGGGTACTAAGGAGGGCACAGATTGCAGGGAGCATTGGGTGTTATACACAAACAATGAATCATGGAACATGGCATCAAAAACTAACAATATATTGTATGGTGACTAACATAACATAAAAAAAACACAAACCAAACCAAACCAAAGAACAAAACAACAACAAAAAAGAATTAATACAAAATAAGTCAAACAAATACACATTTAAACGTCAATAAGAATCAACACCATCGACTGTAGAATGACCGTTGACCGTTATGATGGATTTTAGTTAACAGACTGTGGATGGATCTTAATATACTTGGTGTGAAGGCAGGGGGTGGCTAATTAGAGCTAATCAGTGATTCTCAACCAGAGGTGATATGACCTACCACCCAGGGGACATTTGACAATGTTTGGAGACATCTCTGGTTGTCAAAACAGGAGGGTGGTATTGACATCTAGGGAGAGGGGTCCAAAGGTGTTGGCAAACATCCCACAGAGGCGTGGGTTGGTCCCCTCAAAGGGGGCAAGGAATCACCCATCTCAAAATGTGGATGGTGTGGAAGTTGGAAACCATGATCCAGACAGTTTAGGACAGAGACTGCACCTTAGAACTGCCTGGGAAGAGTGTGAAGACCCCTGCTTCCCAGAAGCTCACCCCAGACCAATTCAATTAGGATCCCTGAAAGAGACCCCAGGCAATTTCAATGTGGGTCCCGTTTTAAAGATTGAAAACCACCCCTTGGTTATCATATATCAAAGATTGAAAAATCACCCCTTCCATGCTGGAAAGGAAGATCTGCCCTACCCAGAGTCCCGCTGGCCAGTCGTGGAACGTGGGCCAACAGAGAGTAATTCTTGCTGGAGATTTTGTTTGCATAGAATACCCTTGGGCTGCAAGGACGCTGATCCCAAGAGAGGTGAGTGCCAGTTCTAATTTTCTTTTAACTTATGATATTTTTCCTTCCCTTTATCTGAGTATGGTTGACACACAATACTACATTAGTTTCAGATGTACGACAGAGATCTACAAGTCATACACTATGCCGTGCTCGGACTGTATTGCTGACATAGTGCAGCCCTTGTACCTGTTTAAGTGAACAGCAGTACTTGGTTGGGTCTCTACCACAGAACTTTTCAAGATTAATGGGGGTGGCCAGAGGATTTTAGAAGGGTTTTTGAGGTCCTCCAGCTGAAGTGTCCAAGTATGAGAAAGCAGATTTGGAGCAGACAGCTGCCAGTGATTCCAGATGTAATTTTTTTCGTACATTATTTGAAGTGTCCGCTGAGGTGTTATCCTGTGAAATCCACCCATTTTAAGGAAACAGTTTTTTAAGGAGACTTACGGAGCTGTGCAACCGTACCCGCAAACCAACGTGAGAACTTCTGCCTCACCCCAAAGGGCACCTTCATGCCCAGGCACGGTGTCCTTGTGTTGCCATGGTCACCGCGGACAGGGCACCCTGCCTGGGAGCCTCCGTCTTCCCTCTGTAATCTGGGGCAACTCCTCGATTTCCAAAGACCGGTGTGGTGTCAGCTGTTTCTCTAGACTGAAGGACCGCCATGTGCTCATGCAATTTAGGGGTATTTCCCCCCCAAATACCTTGGTGACAGCATCAGAGGCGGGCTGCTGCTAATCATGCGTGCGGCACCAACAATTCTGCAGTTGCAGGGCACAGCCTTGCTTTACTCTGCATCCAGGACCGAAACCCTTGGGCTAGGCAGGCTCAGGGCAGGTTGAAGCCTGGTCTTCCTCCCGTGTCACAGACCCTTCTCTAAAACAAAGGCCTGCCCCCCAGGCTGGGGTCCGACAAACCCTGAGCCCATGGGGATTTGGCTCCTCAGCCAACCCACTGGCTGTTCTTTCTCCAAGGCTGCCTCTCAAGGGTTACTTTTATCTGACTCTGCCCATTCCCAGCTTCCCAGCCGCTGACCCCCTAATTTTCCACGCTCATTCCTTCTGGGGTGGGGGGCAACCTCCCACACGTGGCAACACCAAGGGTGTGTCTGCTGTGATCAGAGGGCATCTCACCCAGGGAAGGAGGCTCTGTGTTGGCAAGGCTCCACTCGAGGCTCTTTCCCCCACAAGTTCCCAGAAAATGCAGCTGGTCTGAAGGCCACACTTGGGGAACCACGGCCCTAGGCCTTAGATGCACCATGAGAAGCAGAGATAATAGAATTTACCCCATCGGCTGATGCAAGGATTAAATGGGATCTACAGAAGAGCCTATAATGGTCCTCAGCAGACGGAAAATAATCAGACGTTAATGATCATCATAGCTCCTTAAAAAGACAGGGATTACAGAAACATGTGAAGGAAACTGTCCAGTCAGAGGGGTTACATTTATAAGGTGAACACACAATGCAGTCATATTTTGCCCTTTGCTGAATTCTGTCACTTTTTCTTGCATCATTAGAATACAATTTTTATTTTAAATTCAATTAGCCAACATATAGTACATCCTTAGTTTTTGATGTGATGATCAATGAATGATTCATTAATTGCCTATAACACCCCGTGCTCATCGCAACACGTGCCCTCCTCAATGCCCATCACCCGGTTACCCCATTCCCTCCCCACCCACCTCTGTGACCCTCAGTTTGTTTCCTGGAGTCCAGAGTCTCTCATGGTTTGTCTCTCTCTCTGATTCTGTCACTTCTGAGTCAAAAAGCTATGCTAATTTCCTCTAAATTTTTGGAAAATGTGTTTGCATTTCTTTGTGCATTTCTGTGTATGTACATATAAATCTCTAGCTGTTTATACACATTAATATCAACCATCATAATTTTTAAAAAAGATTTTATTTACTTGACAGAGAAAGAGAGAGAGAGAGCAAGAGCACAAGCAGGGGGAGTAACAAGGCAGAGGGAAAAGCAGGCTCCTGGCTGAGCAGGGATCCTGATGAAAGGTTCAATCCCAGGATCCTGGGATCATGACCTCAGCTGAAGGCAGACACTCAATGGGTGAACCGCCCAGGCACCCCATATCATTAGGCTCCTAATTTGCATTTCCCTCAGTTCTAAAGTGGTTGAATGCCTTTTCTGTGTGCTTATTGGTCATTCCCTTTTTTTGAGGTGCTTTTTCCAATTTTCTGATTTCTTCCATGGAGTTTTATTTTGTTTTAACACACACTCGCGGCAGTTCCTTACATGTGTTACATTCCTTCTGAAAATATATATTTCAAAATATATGTATTTTGAGTGCATAGCCTCCTAGCTTGTAGCTTTGCTACTGTCCTTTTAGCTTTTGTGCTTTTTTCTTTCTTTTTTTGGATAAACCTAAGGTCCCCATTTATTTTATTTATTTATTTATTTATTTATTTACTTACTTACTTATTACTTACTTATTTATTTACTTATTTATTATTTTTGTTTTTTTAAACTTAATTTTTTTCAGTGTTCCAAGATTCATTGTTTATGCACCACACCCAGTGCTCCATGCAATATGTGCTGTCCTGAATACTCACCATCAGGCTCACACATCCCCCCACCCTCTCCCCTCCCAAACCCTCAGTTTGTTTCTCAGAGTCCACAGTCTCTCATTGTTCACCTCCCCTTCTAATTTCCCCCAAGTGCCTTCTCCTAACTCCCCTTGTCCTCCATGCTATTTGTTATGCTCCACAAATAAGTGAAACCATATGATAATTGACTCTCTCTGCTTGACTTATTTCACTCAGCATAATCTCCTTCAGTCCCATCCATGTTGCTACAAAAGTTGGGTATTCATCCTTTCTGATGGAGGCATAATACTCCATAGTGTATATGGACCACATCTTCCTTATCCATTCATCTGTTGAAGGCATCTTGTAAGGTCCCCACTTAAAATCAAATTTGGGTGATCAGTTTTTACCTTTACAGCTGCTACATTACCTTGATTATTTCCAAGAATGGGGATACTCTTTATTTTTCTTTTTTATGGGCTTTATTGACTTACCTCTCACAACTGAGACTATAATCAGGCTCTGATTCATTGTGTGTGCTGTGAGGCAGGGATCTGAGTTTATTTTTTGTGCGGACGCACAACTGATGCAGCACCGTCTATGGAGGATGGCTCTTTCCTGTGGCTCTGTGCAGTACGATGCTGACCGTGCATCTCCAGTGAGCTAGTCATTCTGTCTCATGGGTCCTTTTTGTACCTTACACTGGTTTCCTGTCTTCTGCTCTAAGTTATGGTAAATCTTTGCCAGGGTCAGTACGAGGGTAGAGGAAGAGTGTGTCATCATGTCTCCTCCCAGTCTGGGCCCTCATGTTTATCTTGGAGTGACTTCCAACTCTTTTTTTTTTTAATTTTTAATTTTTTAAATTTCTTCTCAGTGTACCAGAATTCATTGTTTATGCACCACACCCAGTGCTCCATGCAAAATGTGCCCTCCATAATACCCACCACCAGGCTCACCCAACTTCCCAACCCCCGCCCCTTCCAACCCTTGTTTCTCTGTCAGTGGCTTTATATCTTTTCATTTCCACATAAACTTGAAACCTAACAAGTAGATAAATCTACAGAAACAGAATGTAGATTAGTGGTAGACAGAGCCCAGGTAAGGGGGAATGGGCAGTGACTACTTCATGTGTCTGGGTATCTTTGTGGGTGATGGAAATGTTCTGGAACAAGACAGAGGTGGTGGGTGCACAACACTGTGAATGTTTCCAAGGGTGAATCATACACTTTAAACTGGTTAAATATTTTATGCATATCTTTACCATGATAAAAATTAAATAGACTGAAGATATTTCAAGTTCTCTTAATCTACAATAGTATGATCTACAAAGTACAGATAACCCTGTGGGTCAAGCTTTCCCCCATGGGTTATTTTCCAAAGTGCACAAGTGGAAAAAAGATTGGATGACTGGAAGCTGGGGGAAGCCAAAGGGGACTTCCTGGTTAGAAAAGCCAGGTGGGTGGGGCGCCTGGATGGCTCAGTGGGTTAAGCCTCTGCCTTCGGCTCATGTCATGATCTCAGGTCCTGGGATTGGCCTCTCTCCTCGGCAGGGAGCCTGCTTCCCCCTCTCTCTCTGCCTGCTTCTCTGCCTCCTTGTGATCTCTCTCTCTCTCTTTGTCAAATAAAAATAAATAAATAAATAAATAAATTTTTTTTTAAAAAAGAGAAAAAGAAAAGCCAGGTGGGTCAGCACTGTCTTAGGCTGGTGTTTGATAGTGTGCAAGAAAACTTCCTGTTCTTGGTGTTTTTCATTTCTGGCCCTTTACAAAGTGTATTTTCAAGGTCAGTATAATCAGTGGCACCCCCACTTTGTCCCATCCCATATCACTACTGGTGAAGAGGAGCGAGATAGAAAGGCAGGGGAGGAATCTTCTATCCAGAAGACCTTCGGGCCAGGACAGGGGGATGAGTTTCACTACAACATCACCCAGAGAAGCCAAATCTTCCAGAAAAGTTCATATCTTTTTTGAATCCCCAAACACCCATACAGCTAATGCCACACACGGTGGTGCTGCACGGTCCGGCGGGCGTGGGGAAGACCACTCTGGCCAAGAAGTGCACGCTGGACTGGACGCAGGACAGCCTCGCGCAGGCCCGCCGCGTTGCCTTCTATCTCAGCGGCAAGGTGCTCAGCCGCAAGGGGACTTGCTCCTTCGCAGAGCTGCTGGCCGAGAGCGCCCCAGACCCGCAGCGCGCCCTTCCGCAGGTCCTGGCCCAGGCGCACAAGCTCCTGCTGGTCATTGACGCTTTCGAGGAGCTGCGCGGGCCCTGGTGCACGGGCGCGCTGGAGCACGACCTGGGGGGCGACTGGAGGACGCGGAGGCCTGCGCCGGTCCTCCTGGGCAGCCTGCTGAAGAGAAAGCTCTTCCCCACGGCCACCCTGCTGGTCACCACGCGGCCCGAGGCCCTGAGGGAACTGCGGCTCCTGGTGCAGCAGCCGCTCTTGGTGGAGATGGAGGGGCTCTCCGAGCGCGACAGGAGGGCGTATTTCCTGCGACACTTGGGAGAGGAGGCTCAGGCGCTGCGCGCTTTCCAGCTGATGAGAAGCAACTCGGCGCTGTTCCGCATGGGCGCGGCGCCCGCCGTGTGCTGGATGGCGTGCACCTGCCTGAGGCTGCAGATGGCCGAGGGCGCGGACCCCCGGCCCACCTGCCAGACCGCCACGTCGCTGCTGCTGCACTTCCTCTGCAGCCGGTTTGCGCCTGCGCGGGGCCAAGGCCCGGGTCCGCACCTCGCGGCTGCCCTGCAAGCCCTGTGCCTGCTGGCCGCCGAGGGCACGTGGGCGCAGACCTCGGCGTTCGATGGACTCGACCTGCGCAGGCTGGGCGTGCACGAGTCTGACCTGCGCCCTTTCCTGGACCGGGGCATCCTCCAGAAGGACAGAGACACTGGGGGCTGCTACCGCTTCGTCCACCTGAGCATCCAGCACTTCCTGGCTGCTGCGCTCTGCGTCCTGGGGAACGAGGGCCGCCAAGACGCGGGGAGCCCCGTCTGGCACGCTGGGGGTGTGCAGAGGCTGCTCTCCAAGGAAGAAGGCTTCAAGAACCCCCACCTGGCCCCCGTGGGGCGCTTCCTGTTTGGCCTCGCCAATGAAAAGAGGGCCAGGGAGCTGGGGAGAACCTTTGGCTGCCCGGTGTCCACGGAGGTCAAGCGGGAGCTACTGGAATGCACAGTGCGGTCCCCTGAACACAGACCCTTCTCCTCGGTGACAGACACGAAGGAGACCTTGTATTGTCTCTACGAACCCCAGGAGGAGCAGCTTGTGAAGGAGGCCATGGCCCAGGTCACGGAAGTGTCCCTGCATTTGGAAGATACCTCGGACCTGGAGCACGCATCGTTCTGCCTCAAGCATTGTGACCGCTTGCAGAAAATGTGGCTGCGGGTGGCAAAGAGGACGTTCCTGGAGAACGATACCGCATGGGGATCAGAGGCTCAGGCTGACCGGTAAGGACCTGCCCTGTTCACTCTGTTAGTGCCCTGGCTTCAGCCTCATGCCCTGTTCCTATTCAGTTCCTCTGCCCCTTTTCAATCAATTTCTAAAATTGGGTTGTATGAGTTCTTTATATGTTTTGGATGCTAACCCCTGTCAGATGTATGATTTGCAAATATTTCCTCCCATTCTGTAGGCTGCCTTTGCATTTTGTTGGTGGTTTCCTTCAGGCAATAGTGTACCAATTCTTGTTACTTTTCCTGTACATGCTTTTCTGTAGATGCTCTGGCCCATCCCTCCCTTCTAGGTCACAGCACGACCATTTCTCTCTCCATCTCTCAATCCATTTCTGCTCCGTGTTCAGTTCAAACAAGAACCTGCATTTCTTAGATGTGAGCCAAGCTTCCTACGTCACTCCTCAGTGAGGATTCTTTTTTTTTTTAAATATGTACTCATTAATTTATTCAAAGTAATGAATCTATCACATGTTAACACAAATAACATAGTTTTTATGAACAATAACAATATTCCCCTCCCACACACAAAAAAACACAACAAGAAGAGAGCCACTGTTTACATTTTTTGCCTATCTTTTTAATGTCTGGTTTAGGAAAAGACAGTAGGATATCTACTTCTGCATTTAATATTTATAGTATTTCACTTTGTGGCCTCTGGAGAACATTTCACAGTATACTCCTGAGAGAATAAAAGTTACAATAATGTCCCTGGGCCACACTTTGAGAACCATGCTTTGAATAGCATGGACAATAGCAAGAATTCCCAGGCAAAGGAAGAAGAGGGTCTTTCTTCCTGTAAGGTCCCTGCCTTGGGTCAATCACTGTAGGATTCTTTGTGAGCAAATCACTCGTGTCACCTGTCATCTCCAGAAAGTGGTGTAAGTAGACACTACTCCTGTAACAATGATTCCCAGGCTTTTTTTTTTTTTCTAACGTGGTAGCAGTATTTGAATGCTCAAGAAGCCTCTGACCAATCAGGTGCTCAGAATACAAAGAACTGAAATGGTTCCTAGTGGGCAAATCCAACATTGCATTGAGCTATTGTGACAAAATTCGGCCAAGCATCTGGATATTTTCATGTATCTGCTATGGGCATATTTGAAACTCAGCCTGTGGAAAACATAGGTACATGTGTATCAGAAGGAGAGCTGGTGGGAACTCGGGAACTATTCCAGAGAGCATGGTTTTTAAATACATGAATAAGAACGTGTCGGCGACGCAATGGTGAGTAATAACTAGTGTGTGGAACAGGTCTGAGAAAGGAGTCTGAGTAAGGTAGGTCGACGCAGAAGCAAATCATGATGGAGCCACTTGGGCAGGTCACGGTTAGGTTTTAAAAGGTTAAATCAACACATGCCCAAGTGATAAACTCCATAAATTCTGTTGAAGATTACAGACACATTACTGAAATTCCCCCTACCTCTCCACACCACCATGTCTTAGAAAGTTTAATTAAGGCCCTGGAAACGTGCTATTTGCTTGGAAGAAATAGCTATGCCCCATGTCAGTTGACTTGCTGATCTCAGAATGCCATGGGCCTTGTGCATTTGAAGCAATGAAGTCTGACACAGGTTGGTGCCAGAAAAGATGGCAATGTCTTCCGTATGGCCTTGAAAGTTTACATTGCTCTGTAATGCTCAAGGCATTATGTGAGAAACAAGAAACAGAAGACACCTGTAATTTGTTCTGCTAAGTGTTTATGACAATGTAAGCAGAAGTTCTGAAAGGTTGGCATCCCCCTTGCTCTGGCTCTGTGCTGAAAATTTCATTTGGAGCCTCTTTTGGATAAGCTGCAGGGAATGTTCATTATCTGACAATGAAGGGTCAAGGGTTATAAGACCAGCTGTGAGTTTAGGAAGAAGCGAGGGGTTGGGAGAAGAGAATATCCACTCCCCCAACAGGGAATGTAGTGCCAGGTTTGGTGCTGGTGAAGGTCCCTTCTGACTGGTGTGAGGTGCTATCTCATTGTGGTTTTAATTTGTATTTTCCTGATGCCAAGTGATGTGGAGCACTTTTCCATGTGTCTGTTGGCCATCTGGATGTCTTTGCAGAAATGTCTGTTCGTGTCCTCTGTCCATTTCTTGATTGGATTATTTGTTCTTTGGGTGTTGAGTTTGATAAGTTCTTTACAGATTTTGGATACTAACCCTTTATCTGATAGGTCATTTGCGAGTTTCTTCTCCCATACTGTCAGTTGTCTTTTGGTTTTGTTGACTGTTTCCTTTGCTGTGCAAAAGCTTTTGATCTTGATGAAGTCCCAATAGTTCATTTTTGCCCTTGCTTCCCTTGCCTTTGGCAATGTTCCTAGGAAGAAGTTGCTGCGGCTGAGGTCGAAAAGGTTGCTGCCTGTGTTCTCCTAGAGGATTTTGATGGATTCCTTTCTCACATTGAGGTCCTTCATCCAGTTTGAGTCTATTTTTGTGTGTGGTGTAAGGAAATGGTCCAGTTTCATTTTTCTGCATGTGGCTGTCCAATTTTCCCAACACCATTTGTTGAAGAGACTGTCTTTATTCCGCCTTTCCTATTTTTTATTTATTTTATGCTGCTAGGGGTTCAGTGGGTAAAACAGTACAGAGTCTTAGTGGTTCTCAGCAGGAGTGACTTGCCATGCATGGGACACTGGGCAATGTTGGGAGATATTTGTCCCAACAAGGGGGTGCTCCTGGCATCTAACGGGCAGAACCCAGTGATGTGCTAAACATCTACAACATGCAGGACAGCCCCACAGCAAAGAATGGTCTGGCTCAAAATTTCAGTAGGGCTAAAATTAAGAAACTCTATGGTCTCTGCATTCATTACCACAGAAAATTTGACCTCAACCAGAGGACACTTGGCAATACCTAGAGACCTTTTTTTTTTTATTGTGATAAAGCACACATAGCATCAAATTTACCATTGTAATTTTTTAAAGTGTACAGTTCAGCCGCACTGAGTGTATTCAACACTATGCAAACATCCCCAGTATCTAGTCTCAGAATGTGTTCTTCACCCCAAAGGGAAGCCACATGCCCACTAATCTGCTTTCTGTCCCTCTGTGAGTGACTGTGCCAGATTTTGTTGGCTGCACCTGGTTGTGCTACTAGCTTCTAGCTAGTAGGCAGAGACCCAGGGTGCAGCTGACCATCCTAAAAGGCACACCACAGCCCCACAAAACCCCCCAAAAGAACAGAAACAGGCTCATCAATACAGAAAACAGACTGGTGGTTGCCCGAGGGGAGGAGGAGGGTGTGGGGATAATCAATCAAATCAATAAAAATAGATGAAAGGGGTTAAAAGGTACAAACCTCCAGTTATAAAATACATGTCACAGGGAAGAAAAGCGCAGTATAGTGAGTATAAACACTATCATAATAACATATAGTGACTAGACTTATGGTGAGCACTGTGTATAATTGAATCATTATGCTTCACACCTGAAACTAACCAAACATGGCCAACTATATGTCAATATGATGATTAAAATAATTCCATCATTCTGGGGCTGAACACCCACAGCAGGTAGACAGCTGTACGGCTTCCTGCCTCATCCTGTGTCTTTAGGACACTGTGCCCTGCTGGGAAAATAAACCCCTAGGAGGAGTCTACCCTTCCTTCTCTCTAGGGTTCACAGGGCAGGCTGGAGACCTCAGCCTCCTGGGGTTAGTGGGTCCCACTCTCCACATCTGTGCCGCCAGGAGACACTCCCCACAGAAATCACCCCTTACCAGTTCAGCCCTGCAGGTGCACGTGGGCTGGGGACTGGCCATTGCGCCTCCTGAACTCTCCTACCCTGCTGAGCCTGGGGAGCCCAGAAAGAAAGTGCTGGGCCATCCTGTGCCCAGGATGAGACAGAAACCCTGCAGGTGTGGGGTGATCTTACTTGGGCTTCTCGTCCAGCGCTGTGTCCAGGCCCAGGGTCCCGGAGTCGGAGAATCTTGCCCCCCACCTCATGCCTACTTGACCTTCTTCTTGGTTAGCACAGGGTGGCTGGGAAAGACAGATGTGGGGTCTTAAGCCTCCGTCTCCCATAAAAAGCCTCAGGATAGAAGATGGCCAGGAGCCCTGAATACAGGAAGATTCGGGGCTGGAACCTACTTCCCAGGCACACTTGCCAGCCCTTCTCTTGCAGGTCTTCCCAATTCCGTGATTGCAGGTGCATGGTCTGTAATTGCAAACAGGTGGTCTGGGTCAATCCGTGACAGGCTCCGGGGAAGCCAGAAGTGGAACATTCCATCATGGATCAAGGTGGGGGGGAACCAGAAGTGGTAGGATCCACCATAGATTCAGGGGGGAACCAGAAGAGGAACAATCCACCATAGGGGGGGTAGGGGGGAACCAGAAGTGGAACAATCCACCATAGGCCCATGGAGGAACCAAAAGTGGAACAATCACTATAGACCCAGTGGGGAACCAGAAGTGGAACAACCCATCATAGACCCAGGGGGGAACCAGAAGTGGAACAATCCACCATAGACCCAGGGGGGAACCAGAAGTGAGTGGAACGATCCACCATAGGGGGTAGGGGGGAAACCAGAAGTGGAACAATCCACCATAGGCCCATGGGGCTACCAAAAGGGGAACAATCCACCATAAGGGGGGTGGAGGGGACCAGAAGTGGAACAATTCACCATAGATGGGGGGACGGGTGGTAGGGAAGGGGGGGAACCAGAAGTGGAACAATTCACCATAGACCCATGGGGGAACCAGAAGTGGAACAATCCATCATAGACTCAGGGGGGAACCAGAAGTGGAATGATCCACCATAGACCGGGGAGGGGGGAGCCAGAAGTGGAACAATCCACCATAGACCCATGGGGGAACCAGAAGTGGAACAATCCATCATAGACCCGGGGTGGGGGGAGAAGTGGAACAATCCATGATAGAGCAGGTAGGGAGCCCTCACACTTGGGTAGAGAAAAATCTGCAGTGTCCAGAGCACAGGCACACAATGCACACCTCAGAGATGGGTCCAGATAGACTAGGGAAATACCCTTCTTCCTGCAGAGGCAGAGGAACCTGGACAGGGCTCAGGACCCAGGAGAAGACAATGATGGGTGATGGGTGAATGGAACTGGCAGGGGCAGGGCTGGCTGGGCTCTCTGCAGCAGATCCATTGCCCAGCAGCCATTTGACATCTCTGTCTGTTGGGGTCCCCCTCAGACTCTCCCTCAGAGCTTGCTGACGTCCAGCTCTGACGCTTAGACTAGCCTCCTGGATCTCTTCCCAGACCCAGTGGTTCTCAGCTTGGGGTGATCTTTCTCCCACCCCCTCGATGTCCAGAGACATTTCTGGTTGTCAGCACTGAGGGAGAGGGAGCTACTGGTGTCCGAGGAGCAGAGACAAGATGCTGTTAAACATTCTGCAATGCTCCAACCACAAACAATGGTCTGGCCCCAAATCTCAGTAGTGCTGAGGTTGAGAAATGCTGGCTGAGATGACTCTCTGCCAGAAAGCAAGAACCACCTTCCACTCCTCAATTCGGAGTAGATGTAGGGTTACAATTCTAGGGCAATTCTCCAGACTCAGCATTGAGTAAGACATCTCTGTTTTTTAGAGAACTGGCATTAGGTTTCACGTCTAACCTGGCCTTGCTGACCCAGTCACCCACCTTCCCGGAGCTCATCGCTCTAGCCATGCTGGGCACCTACTATTTTCCCAAGCACGCTCCCTTTGGCCTGCCTTCCTGTTCCTTCTGCCAGGGGGGTTGGTAGGGGCTCACATGGTCACCAGCCTCATGCCACTCACTACTCCCAGTGCCCTCTTTATATCCTTCTAAGCCTGAGATTCTTAACCGGGGGTGATTTTGTCTCCAAAGGGACATTTAGCAACATCCAAAGTCAAGGTTAAGGGGGTGCACCTGGCATCTTGTGGATAGAGACTGAATTGTACCCCCCTCCCCCAGT